CGCAGAGCAGCCCACCGTGGTACTCCCCCTTCTCGCTGTAAGCATCGTCGTCCATGCGTCTCCCCGCGCATGTGCTAGCAACAGCGAAAGGACCAATTGAGTGAGCACTTCAGTTCAAGGACGGCTGCTGCCGTCGAGGCAGGGGTGCTTGGGCACAGGAGCGCAAGCGGAGCCTTTCCTCTGATACGTCGTTATAGGTGCCCATGCCTGTGAGGAAGCCCCTGGCACGGACAAGAGCCATCGGGCACCACTTGGACTGCAACAGACGAGCAGGCGATACGGTATATTTTCTTGCAGATCTCGGCTCCGCGCGTCGGCGTGGCACTGCCAGTACGGACAACCATGCACAAGCCATTCGGCTTCCATCGGCTGCGAACGGATGCGTTGCAAGACTTTGATTGCGCAATACAAGCGGATATGCATACACCTCCAGATTGAAGGAAAACCCCGAGCTTGAGACGCTTATCCATGCGAGGCACTGCATGACTGTACTTCTCGAGCTTGGGAAACCCGCTCCCGAATGCAGTGGCACAAGTGGAGGCTGAACGAAAGGACGGGGGATCGAGGCTGCGGGAGAAAAGATAGGGCGCATCGTAACCAACAGCTCGACTCATCATACTGAAAGTCGCAGCCGTCATCGTCACCATCAACATTATCAGTAACATAATCGTCGTCAATCTGAGCATCACCATCGTCGGTATCGGCATCGCCGTCGCCACCGCAATAAGCACCATCAACATCATCAACAACATCTACATAAGCATCATCATCATAATCATCAGCAGCATCTGCAGTATCATCATCACAGTCATCATCTTACATTGCCAGCATCATCACCTCAACCACCACCACCATCACCATCATCATCAGCAACATCAGCATCATCGTCGTCGGCCGCATCATCATCAGCAGCAGCGTGATGGTGATCGGCATCATTATCATCACCAGCCTCATCCGCAGCGTCAGCATTATCATCAGAGAATACATCCTCAGCATCATCATCTGATCATCATTATCACCATCAACAACAGCATCATCCTCATCCTCATCCTCATCCTCATCATCATCATCATCATCATCATCATCATCATCATCATCATCATCATCATCATCATCATCATCATCATCATCATCATCATCATCATCATCTTCATCAGTATCGTCATCGTCATCATCGTCATCCGCATCATCATCAACAGCAGCATCACGACCGTCGACGTCGACGTCGTCGAGACCGTCATCATCGTCGTAATATCGACCCCCGCCCGTATCGGTACCACCATCATCATCATCATCATCATCATCATCATCATCATCATCATCATCATCATCATCATCATCATCATCATCATCATCATCATCATCATCATCCCCATCCTGCTCGCCCCCTCATCAAAATCCCCTTTCTCCCCATCATCCGCATCCGCCAGCTCCTCACCGCGCTCGTCCTCCCACTCGTCCTCCAAGGTACTTCCACCTCCCCTCGCCTCGACCGCACCTCCCTCGCCTGGCACATGTGTCGCATCGCGCCACCTCGCCCCGCTCCGCCTCCCGATCCCCGTCCCCGTCCCGAGCCGATGTGCTGAAGGCTTTCGACCTTGAGAAGGAAGATCTCCCCGCCATCCAAGCGGAGGAGGCGAGACTCCTCAAGAAGGAAGCCGAGGAGGGACCAGACGTGCCCCTCGACGATTCTGGGGTTCATCGGAGGCCTCCGACGGCTGGCCAGCGTAGCCCGACCGAACCTGTCTTTAGGCCGCTGGCTCATCTCATCTCATCTCATGTCTTCCCCATCCCGTCCCCTACACCCGAAACATCTAACGCGTCGCCCATCCCATCGCCGCCTCCACCCTCGGCTTGCCTCCCGCCCCATCGTCCACACCAGCCCCCAGCGCTCCTCCCCTCTTCCAGCGAGCACCAGGACAGGGGGCGGCACTGTGCGACAGCAGGAGGAAACTGCCAAAGGCATCTACACTACGTCCCAATCATGTGAGCGTTTTCTTATCCGGCGATTCGACATTGGGCGGAAGGGGGGAGGGGAGGGGGGGGGGTCTGGCTCCGGACCTCTGCTTACTGGGACAGTTTGCAACAATACGTCCAACGAAGAAAACTCCGCCTCTTCGAAACGGGCGCCAAAAACGGCCACAAGGTCTACTCCACGGGGGGGGGGCGGAGACAGGGGGGCGCGAGGGCCCGCTCCGGTCGGCAAGACAATGAATAAGAAAATGACGACCTTCCAATCATCCGGGTCGCAGAAATAGAAGTAGTAGTAGCAGTAGTAGTAGTACTACTACTACTACTACTACTACTACTACTACTACTACTACTACTACTACGACTACTACGACTACTACTACTACTACTACTACTACTACTACTACTATACTACTACTACTTACTAACTACTACTACTACTACTACTACTTACTACTACTACTACTACTACTACTACAGTAGTAGTAGTAGGTAGTAGTAGTAGTAGTAGTAGTAGTAGTAGTAGTAGTAGTAGTAGTAGTAGTAGTAGTAGTAGTAGTAGTAGTAGTAGTAGTAGTAGTAGTAGTAGTAGTAGTAGTAGTAGTGGTAGTAGTAGTCGTAGTAGAAGAAGTAGTAGTAGTAGTAGTAGTAGTAGTTTAGTAGTTAGTAATTAGTAGTTAGTAATTAGTACTAGTGGCAATATTCCTAGTAGTAGTAGTAGTAGTAGCAGTAGTCGAAGTAGGAGTAGGAGTAGGAGTAGGAGTAGGAGTAGTAATAACAGTAGTAGTAGTAGTAGTAGTAGTATTCGTCGTAGTGGTAGTAGTAGTAGTAGCAGTAGTAGTCGTAGTAGTAGTAGTAAAAGTAGTAGTCGTAGTAGTTGTAGTAGTAGTAGTAGTAGTAGCAGTAGCAGTAGCAGTAGCAGTAGTAGTAGTAGTAGTAGTAGTAGTAGTAGTAGTAATGGTGGTAATAGTAGTAGTAGTAGTAGTAGTAGTAGTAGTAGTAGTAGTAGTAGAAATAATCGTAGTAGTGGTAGTAGCAGTGGTGGTAGTAGTAGTGGTAGCCGTCGTAGCCGTCCTCGTAGTCGTAGTCGCAGTCGTAGCCGTAGTCGTCATCGTCGAAGTAGTAGTAGTAGTAGTAGTAGTAGTAGTAGTAGTAGTAGTAGTAGTAGGAGTAGTAATAGTAGTAGTAGTAGTAGTAGTAGTAGTAGTAGGAGTAGGAGTAGTAGTAGTAGTAGTAGTAGTAGTAGTAGTAGTAGTAGGAGGAGTAGTAGTAGTCGTAGTAGTTAGTAGTAGTAGTAGTAGTAGTAGTAGTAGTAGTAGTAGTAGTAGTAGTAGTAGTAGTAGTGTAGTAGTCGTAGTAGTAGTAGTAGTAGTAGTAGTAGTAGTAGTAGTAGTAGTAGTAGTGGTAGTAGTAGTAGTAGTAGTCGTAGTCGGAGTAGTAGTAGTAGTAGTAGTAGTAGTCGCCGTAGTATTAGTAGTCGTCGTAGTAGTAGTAGTAGTCGTAGTAGTAGTAGTAGTAGCAGTAGTAGTAGTAGTGGTAGCAGTGGCACGAGTACTCATAGTAGTAGTAGTAGTAGTAGTAGTAGCAGTAGTAGTAGTAGTAGCAGAAGCAGTAGTAGTCGTAGTACTCGTAGTAGTCGTAGGAGTCGTAATAGTAGTAGTAGTAGTAGTAGTAGTAGTAGTAGTTACAGTAGTAGTAGTAGTAGTAGTAGTAGTAGTAGTAGTAGCAGTAGTAGTAGTAGTAGTAGTAGTAGTGTAGTTGTTATTGCTAGTGTACTACTACTACTACTAGACTACTACTACGACTCCTACTGACTACTACTACTACTACTGACTACTACTACTTACTTTTACTACTACTACTACTACTACTACTACTACTACTACTACTACTACTACTACTCTACTACTAGTACTAGTAGTCGTAGCCGTAATCGTAGTCGTAGTCGTAGTACTCGTGGTAGTAGTAGTAGTACTCCTACTCCTACTACTACTACTGCTACTACTACTACTACTACTACTACTACTACTACTACTACTACTGCTACCACTACTACTGCTACTACTAGTAATAGCCGTAGCCGTAGTCGTAGTGGTAGTAGTTGTAGTCGTAGTAGTAATGGTAGTAGTAGTCGTAATCGTAATCGTAGTCGTAGTCGTAGTCGTAGTCGTAGTAGTCGGAGTAGTGGTAGTAGTAGTGATAGTAGTAGTAGTAGTAGTAGTAGTAGTAGTAGTAGTAGTAGTAGTAGTAGTAGTAGTAGTAGTAGTAGTGGTAATAGTAAAAGTAAAAAATCAAAGTACCAAAATAAACACAGTAGTGTGTCGTAATAATAGCCGTAGTCGAAATAGTCGTAGTAGTAATCCGTCAACCCGGGAGCGGGGTGCTCCCCAAACGAACGGCGACTGCCGCACGTCTTGCGCATTCGGGACGCAAGATCGCCGACCTGCCTCGACGCACGCGGGGGCGGGGGGGCCCCCGGGGGGGGGTCCTCGGCAACGCCGCGGCCTCCCCTCCTCCCTGCCCCGCCCCCGCTGCCCCAGCATTCGCGTAGGGGATCGAGACTACAGACCCCAGAGTTGATTTGCTCGTCGTATATATATGTGTATATATATATATGTTATGTACCCAAAGGCTGGTTTTTCAGAAACAAAAACTAGAGCATTCGAAGATCTGCTAACACTCTACGCACTCTTACAGATTCGGCGAACAAACTGCATTCCCGGGTAAATCAAGTCTGTAGTCGATCTGCTACTCGAGTCATCCCCATCCTCGTCCTCCTCGTAATCATCACCAGGAGGGGACAGAGGGAGCAGCCGCGGCGGGGGAGAAGAGAGATCAGGAAGGACGAGGAGAGAAGGTGCAGCCGAGGGGGCAGAAGGAGCGAAGCCGCAGCACAACTCTGGGAGGGCAACGTAGGCCTGCGAGCGTAAGGCGAACGTTTGAGGTCGTTGGGCGCGCGAACGCTAGCATCCTCTGTACTGATGCTTCCGAGCATGCGTGAGCGAATATGAATGTCTCGTTTTGGGTATGGGCGTTCTGTGTATGGTCGCTTTGGGCATGCCTGAACGAGCTTAATGCGGTGGTGACTTTAAAAGAATCAAGGGCACCCAACATACAAATCGAGGGGAAAGCAAGGAAAACAGGTGCGGAAGGAGGACTGAAGGAACGGTGGCCTGCGGCAACGCGTGAGGCACAGCGAAAAACAATGCGCATTCCAGAGGGGGGCACTGCCCAGGAGGGCCGACGCGGCTTCCGCCGGCAGTCGGACGAACACGCCTTGGAGGAAGGGGCGGAAATAGGAGCCAGCTGCGACGGCATGTAGCGCACAGAACCCGCTCCGACAATCCGCAAGTCACCCCCCGCTCCTCCCCTTGGCTTCTCCTCCTCATCCTCCTCCACGTCCACTCCTGCCTCCTTCTCCTATTCCCCAACCATCATCGTTACCTACCTCCTCCTCCTCCTCCTCCTCCTCCTCCTCCTCCTCCTCCTCCTCCTCCTCCTCCTCCTCCTTGTCCTTCTCCTCCTCCTACTCCTCTTACCTCTTCCTCCGCATCCCCCTCATCCTCCTTATTTTACTCCCTCCTCCCTCTTCCGTCCACCCTTTTGTATGGATTGCGGGGCACCAGAAACTGCCAGTGGTGGCTGGGGTTCCAGCTGCACGAAGAGGGTGCAAGTGGGGAAGCCCAAAATCCAGGGCCAGAAATCCTGTCCAGGAGGGGCCCGCTGCGGGAGGTCCAGGGATCCATCGGCGCTCGCCCAAGTCTCGATTGACCAAATTGGTGGTCAAGCTGACAAGGGGTGGTGCAATAGGTTTGGGGCAATTGCATTGCACGTGTATTGCGCCAGAGAGTTGTGTTGCATTGTATTGCAGCTGACGCATTGCCAGCGGAAACCCAGTAGTGCATCTGCGCGCCAGAATGTAGCGCACGCCCCAAATCTATTGCCCCAAATCTATTGCACCCCCACCTAGTCGCTTGCACCACTACGACTACGACTACGACTACACATGCGACTACTACTACTACTACTACTACTACTACTACTACTACTACTACTACTACTACTACTACTACTACTACTACTACTACGACTACGACGACACACTACTACGACTACGGCTACGGCTACGGCTACGGCTACGGCTACGACTACGACTACGACTACGACTACGACTACGACTACGACTACGACTACGACTACGACTACGACTAC